ATAATGGTTGTAAAGAATAAAGGGCAAATATGCTGAGTTCCTCCTTGAATAAATATCGACATAGTAATTTAGTAACCAGAGTTCCATAGTAAAAAGGAGTTCCCTCTCATTCTTCCATTAGTTTCTTTCTACCAAGATAGTTTTAAAAGAATACTTTGAAAATTAATCCGACCAGCTCAAGGACAGAAATCAGCTAGCCAAAAAATATGAAATAAAAATGAAGACTGATGAGATGTAAAAGGTTATGTACGCACTCTAGAGAGACATAATGCTCAGGCATCTGCTCTAGTCTGAAGAAGCATGGAATTCCTATGCTTCTGCACAAAGAAAATATTAAGATAAATGTGTGGAGATATTTTTAAAGCTCTTGTCATTTATTATTATGTTTTACTTCAGCAAATAAGAGAAAAATTTGGTGATGAGGTAATGTTCACTGTGCTTTTATCACTGCTTAAAAGAAAATGAAAAAATATTTTATAATAAATGCTTTGACAGCTGAAACTAACAGAAAGTAGAATAGCATAATTATCCTGAAAGGAGGAAAAAGCAGGAAGTCCACCAGAATGAACGTGAGACTGATAAGTGAATCGAGCCCTTTAAAATGATAACGCGTGATTCCGTATTAGCAATTAAGGCTGTGAACACAGTTTAAGAATATTTACACAATAGATTCACTTCAGAGAACTTGGTACACAAAATCTCGTTTAGTGGAGCATTTTATCCAGGGTAGTTTATTTGTTTCATAGCTAATCCATAAAGGTGAAACATAATGTGTCTCTCTTCCAGGAATTAAGACAGGTCACGTAAGAGTAAACTTCACTGCGACACAGAGACATGATCACAGCAAAAAGACCTGACAAAACAGAGGAATATTTAGATGTCCAGGGAATAATTGGAAAATCAGATAGAAAATGATTGGCTACAAATATTTAGCCAGAATGTCCTTCAGTAAGGGTTTTCAGAAAAGATTCAAAAGACATAGATGTGTAAAATCATAAATAATTGACTCCAAAAATTAGGGTACAACATATGCCAACTGAAGATTATTTGACTTTGGAAGTCATTGTTTGGAAGGCCAAATAATTAAATCAAACATATATAGCTTTTTTTAAATATATGAAACTTGTTTTCTTCATCATATCTATGCAGAATGGGCAGTACATCAGACTTTGCGAAGGCCAGCAATAGGAAACAACTGCGTAGTATATACTGGCTAATAGAAAAAAAAAAGAAAAAGAAAAAGAAAAAAGAAAAAAAAGCATATAGTATATATATGTCTATGAAGTTGTCATCTAGTTCTGATGAAATAAGCTCATTTCTTGTGAAATGGAACAACTCATTGCACCATCAGACAAATATGAATAGGAAATACTAATCAACATTTTTCATTATACAGATCAGAAGATGTTGTGTACTTGACAGAAGTCCAAAAAGGACTTAGTGCGCTTTACCCCAGCCCTAGTTTTCCTTCTAATCATACACTAACTGTGACTTTAATTGGGATCTCGAATCAAAGAAACGAAAAGCAAACATAGAGGCAAAAAAATGATATTGGAATAGAAATTCAATGAGAAGTCAGATGATGCAAGGCACTGCTACAAGTGACACAAAGACATTGCTATCTAGCATCAGAAACAGATCTGTTAATGTTGCCACAAGAAAGATAATGCCACTTGACTTTTGTAATTCCCAGAAAAGTAATGAACGTAGTGCCAGGGAGACCAGGTTTATCAGTCACCAGACTGTATCACAAACAGAAGAACTTTTAGAGACTAACCAGCATAATTACTTACACTCAGTAATCACAACACAAAATGAAGAAATTTTCATATATGTGGAGCAATCATAGCCATAATGCCCAATTGGGAATGACAATTAAACACCATATACTACATAGTTAATCCCATTCAGAATGCAAGATCCGTAATTTCCACATAGATGACTGAGAGAAGCCTCCTAGCTAACAAACATATCTCTCTCCTTGCTCTTTGTCTCAATGAATATGTAACAATTTCAGCTTTTTACATTCAGTTCTCAAAGTGAAAGGAAAAAGCAATGCTCTTCCAGATAAAGGAAAAGACTAATATAGAGGTATATTACTTTTTTTTTTCTTTTACACCTACACTTACTTGATGAAAGCCTTTCAGCAATTCTCTCTCAAATATTCTTGAACCTCTTAATAATTTTCATCTTTCCCTAAATAGACTCATACCACTAACTATTAGGTGATCTCCAAGTACCAAAACAGAATTGTGCTCTCTACTTTCAATGTACCAAGCTCTTACATTCTGGAACTGCTTGAAAGATATAATAAAATAATAAAACCATGGTGTGCTCACAAAACATTTGACACAAAAAAGAGGGATGTAAGTCTAACAGTAAGTGTTCTATACTGAATACTCTGATGAAATGTAATTACAGAACATCATGCCACAAAAGACATACTAAATGTCCAAACATAGATAAAACTTATTAAGAAACACATAATAATTATTATGAAACACTGGTAGTTAAACACTCATTATGACAGGATTGTTATGAAGTAAAAATGTTCTTAGTAAGACCATCTAGATGAAATCTATTTAGTTGCATACAGTCCAACAGTTCCACAAAATCAGGACTGAAAAGTACATCAGTGTGTAACACTAAAATTATAGTCTATACTGAAAATACATACACAGAACTAAGCTGCAAAATCCTCTTCAATATCACATTTCAGGTAACATTGTCTCTCTTCACATGACAGACACATTTTGAAAATCGAATCACCGGCAGGTTCCTTAACTTTTGAATTCTTCTTTTTCTGTCTTTATTATTCAACAAGAGATTAAGTTCTTAACTCATTTTTTTTTCCCCCTATTTTAACTGTGGTAAACTATGGTATTAGAAAATGCTATTCCATATTAGAAGTTGCTCTTCACTACAAAAAAAAACAAAACAAAACAAAAAAAACCTGTAAGAGGTCTTACAAAATCCAAAATTCAAAATCTTTTATTTCTAAATATGTGCTATGACTATTTGAACATGCAGCATAAGTTATTGAAAATCTGAGGGCTGATATAAAAAAGGTTTTTATACAATTTTATACAAAAATAGACTCCTCTGCTCAGTATAAAATCTATTTGGTAAGGCTTTACAATAAAAACAATGATTCCAACTATGCAAGGATTCTATACTGCTGGTCACAAAAACAGATATGTGTAAAAAAGTTCAACAGTAATGCTATACTATGTGGTGTTTCTGCATGAAAATAAGCATTCTTTCCAATTGCATTAGTGAGATCAGATGACTGAATGCCTTAATTAAAAAAGGTTTCAATAAAAGTGCATCCTTCTTACAGAATGTAACAAGATATTTTTTTTAGCATGAGCAAGAACTTAGCCATAAAACTTACTGAGAGCTGCATGACAAAACACTGTGCATCATGCTGAAAATGTTCTGTAGTGATGACAGTAGGGTTAAAACTTTTGGACATACTCATCAATATTTTGCACGAGATGTTTCACGGCACAATATTTGTGATTTATGGTCAACAGTAAATTCTCTGCTTTCAGGTGTATGTGTATTACAGAAACATCTCAGAAATGAGTTTACAGATTGGTTATACAATCCACTAATATATATTGTTCTTTCAAAGGACTTTCAATGTATACCTGGCTCATTAAAGCAGACTTCTAAGGAAAGTACAGAAAGCTAATCATTACAGAATGTGTTTCAATGTTATCTATGTTGCTGCAATATCTCATGCACTTCATATACAAGTAATCTTGCTAAATTATTTTATCAATAAGTTATCCTAGAAATATTACATTTTTTACTACAGAAACAATACAACCTATCTGGAATGAAGCATACAGCATCAAGGAAAGATGGAGAACCCTTACATCAACCACAACAGAGAGAGGAAAATATGAAGGGAAATATTGTGTATCAAACAATGAAATCTTGAGGTTGAAGTAAAATTACGCTATTTGCAACATTTGCTCCTAAAAATCATTGGCACAGAAAAAAAAAAAAAAAGAAAGAAAAAAAACAGAAAAAAAAAGAAAAAAGAAATCTCTTATTAAAGGTAAGTTTGGGATAAAAGCCAGCATAGTTTATATTTATTTGATTAAAAAAACTATTTAAAAGTGACTTCTGGGAGGAATCTGCAAAAAAATATTACTTTCACACCCCCAGGAACTGGTGATTGATTGTTGTTTTTTTCTGTCACAGCAAGACTCAAAGTTATGACATACAAGTTTACATTTCTGTGAGCATCTTAAGTCAGTTTCAAAGAAAATGTAAATATAATGAGAATTTATGACAATGAGAGATATCTTCCTGCTTATATATATTGAAGAAAACAGATAAAAAGTAGTTAAAAGGCAAGAAAGTCCAGTACTGCTTTTTAAAAATAACTTTATAATTTAGCAATTGTATTGAGGTCCTTAACTCTGGAAACTTGCTTCCGAACATATTCCAATCTAGGACTCTGAATCATACGTAATGTTTATCTAGCTTACAGCTGAAAACTAATTCTGCTACCCTACTTCTAAGACACTAATCTATACCAATTAATTTATTTGGTTTTTTAACGTGTGGTGGCCTAATTTGGACATCAAAGATTGACATGGGCAGCTAAGTACTGAATTTGAGATTAAACAAGACAGCAACAAACAAAATTATACTAACAAAATAAAATGTGTTGGTCCCTTTCTTTCTAAACACAGCACAAATGAGAAAAGACATTACATAAACTTGCTAATGTCTTTGAATTTGTAAATAAAAGATACAACCTAACTAGCACCCTCAATATTCAGTGGCATAACAAACTGGACACTTAGAATGGCAGTGAAGAAAATTAATAGTGAGAACCCTCATCATTAATTATTTTTCTGTACATCACAAACTTAAAATATAAGAGTATGAAAGTAAGAAAGTTTTGTGACTTTTGACAATTATTAGTAAGAAAAAGATTATAACAATTGCCAAAAAAATCACAAAAGTTGACATGTTACCTGGCTATGACAAAGAGCACACAACTGACACCCAAGTAAGCCAGCAGAATATACATCCAGATATCAGGGGAGAGAGGATTCAGGAAGGAGAAGACGCCCGGGTTTGTACCATTGGGCTTGCGGTACAAAATACTTATTCCAAGAGTCATAAACGGCTTGGAAAAGTCGATGACTTTCTCACGAACATAGGTAATTGCCAACGGTGCAACTGCAAGATCAGCTTTCTGTTGACAGAAATACAAAAAGAGAAACAGGACACAAGTCAGAAGAAACAGGTTGAAGTAGAAATTCAGATTGCAGATTGCAGTTCATCAAAGAAGATGTTTGTTCTTGCACTAGTAAGGCTGAAATTTTAAACACTACTATACCTATTACTAGGAATGCAGATTTATTCTACATCTTTTTCAACTTCTCAAAATGTACGTATCAAGATTTGTCTTTATCACTTTTTTGCTGTGCTCTTTTGCAACTGATGTAATTGAGACAGAGTTGTGAATCTGCTTGTGCAAATGGAGGACAAGGAAGATTTGTTTCGTTTATTTTAATGTAAAAATAACAGTACAAATGAAGATTATTTTAAAGTGAGAAGCTCTACAACTGAAAAGTTTTTACATGTATGTAGTGTAAATTCATCATTAGTACTTTTTTTTTTGTTGTTCACCTGGTATTGTATATGCTATTTAACACTCTCAATTCCATATATTAGGGTATTTCAATGTTGCCTTTTGTTATTGCCTAGTTCAGTGTCCTAATGAGCACCTATCACATCATTAGATCTACTCTAGTAACGCACTACTGTATGAAAATGTGGAACTGTTGGCTCTATTCATTTAATTTAGTCAGGTTTCAGTGGTCAAAAACACCACATGCACTTCATTTTCATTGGTATTCAGAACTTGCAGGTACAAAGCAGACTTGCAAGGCTTCATTTCACAGCAGCTAAATTTTCATGGCTTGCATATTACTGATGATATTCCACATGACACAGAAAGAAAACAGGAAAGTGCAAACATAAAACTAATTTTGATTAAAAGTTATAGAGCAACACAAAGAAGTTTGAGAAACACAAATAAAATTATTAGACTGACAGAAAAGTATCAGAGTCTGAAGCCAAGTCACCAGAGATTGTCAGAAGATATAGGTACCCAAAGAGAGAAAATACTGCTATTTGCAGTTCTGAATTTCAGTCATAGAACGTGAACTGAGCCTTTACAAATAATAAATACTTTCTTTTAGGAAATGCTGCTGGAAATTAAACCCATGACTATCAAAGCTGTATCAAAGCTGTGTAAATGTAAGTTGTTGCAAGTCTCTCCAGTGGAAAAAAAGCTCTAAGGAAACTGCAGACACCAAAAGAAATATAGCATTAGAATAAACAATGTATTTTTTATAAGACGGAACAAAACAATCAGATAATCCAATCTAGGAGGCATAGATCCAAAATACAGATCCCTGCTATCTTAGAATTATCTTCAGAATTCAGAATGATCAATGCAATAGCGACAGATGTGGGAGTGGGGAGACCTTTCTACCAGATTATATGTCCAGATATTTGTCTCTGATTATAATCTTTTTTTTTTTTTAATATGCTCAGTCATCCTACCATCATTTCACACAGTTCTATATTGTCTTAACAATTCCACAATCTGAGAAAAATTGCGAGGAACCACGTAACACTGCTTTTGCCTGGCACTATAGTACACTCTATGGTATAAGAAAATATTTGTACATGTCAGTTATCTGGTTAAACTCTAACTCCTTAAATTAATTGTAAATATTAGCTAAGAGTAATTCCTAAGTTTTGGTTAAGAAGGTACAGTATGAACACAGCATATGACAAGCTATTTTCAGATAATGACAGAGTAATTTATGTTGGAACAGACGTTTGGAGTTCACCTAATCCAACTTCCTGTTCAGAGCAAGATCAATTTAGACGCTCAAACAACTGACATAATTTTCTGATACTGCAGAAAACACCATGTAAGAGTGATTCCCTGAAACTTATACTTACTGAAATTGGTACAAATAAAAAGCAGTAAATGGGGGCAATATATTCAGTGTCAAAAGGAGCATAAGGAAATGGAAATAATGCTCTTTCTTTCAAATTATCTACATAATTGTGATATCTATGAAGACAGAATTCATAATTTCAGATAAAATACAAACAAAATGTAAAAAAAACAGAAGAAAATGCATTAATCCTTATACTAATCCACACACAGCAACTAAGTTCAAAGAATGATCTGTAAATTCAAGATAAAAATCATTTTCATTATGGCAACTATGTCAGTCTGACTTCTGCATAGAACTTGTAACTTCACAGTTCTGATAACACCACTTCCACTGTCCAAATGGATAACAATGTTGTATGCTTTCTAAAGTCAAACAGATGGTAAAAACATGCTAACAAGTAGATTTATTTTGCAAAATATGTGTATTGCTTCATACCTAGTGTTAGCATTTTTTGGATTTAGTTTACTAGTGACTGTAAATGGCGTATCTCTTCCTGACTAATGACAAAACTGAAGCTACATAAACATTACCCAAAATGCAAAATACAGCAAGAATGACTGACATAAAAAGTATAATATTGCAAAATTTAATCATTTTGCTTATTAGACATATTTTACCTCCAAAATACTCAATTATCTTGGCATATATTTCAATCATAAGTGAATGTAAGAGAAATAAGAAGTATAGTTTCTAGAAGAGCATTATGAGGATCTCCTACAGTCTTTTACAATAGAGATATACAAATAAGAGAATTATATGAGTTAATTTCTCAGGTAGAATTGGGGATGAATGATGTGGCCCTCGTTTGGATCCACTTCAACAGTTCCAAACCTTTCTTGTACTACAGAACCCAGTCCCCCAGGTGAAATCTAATGAGGGAAGAGCAAAGGGAGGTAATCACCTCCCTCATTCTGTTGTGCTCATACTTCTTTTAATGCAGCCAACGATTTGGTTGGCTTTCTGGGCTGCAAGTATGTCTTGCTAGGTCATGCAGAACTCTTGATCCATCACCCAGTTTGTACTGATGTGTGGAATTGCCCTAGTCAAGATGCAGGATTTACACTTGGCCTTGCTGAACATCACAAAGTTTTCCATGGGCCCACCTCTCAAGCCTGTCAAAATCTGTCTGGATGGCATCCTTTTCCTCCAGAGTACCAACTGCACCTCTTAGCTTGGTGTCATCTGCAGACTTGTTGAGGGTGTGTTCAATTCCAATGTCTACATTGAGGATACTAGTATAAACTTATTAACAATCAGCTTTAATAAGAATGAAGTGATGGATTTTCTCATACCACACTATGCAGATCCTGTCTGAAGGAATAAAGAGCTCCTGACAAATCTTACATACAAGAAAGAAGAATACCATATATGAAAGCAGGGACAAGTGTCTAAGGAGTAATATAGCAACACTATCTAAACATACAGGCAGGACTAGGATAGTCAAAGCACATCTGGAGTTAAATGTGGTGAGAAATGTCTGGAGCAAGAAGTGGCCTGTAAGTACATAATAAGCCACAGGAACACAAAAGAAGATATGCAACTGGTGCCAAATGAGGGAGGGGATTTGATGACAAGGGACATGAAGAAGGTCAAGTTGTTCAATTTATGCTTCACCTCAACCTTTACTTGTAAGAAGACTTGTCTTCAGGAATCCCAGCTTCCTGAGATTTGTGGGCAAGTATGGACCAAGGAAAACTTACTCCTGAGTGGAGGAGGAACAAGTGAACAAACATGGAAACAAACTGTACACGCAGAATTCCGTGGGACACCTCATGAAATATATTCACAAGTATTGAAGGAGCTGAGGATGTTTGCCATCCTCAACTATCTACAAAAGTATGTGGGGGTGAAGCTCCTAAGAACTGAAAGAAAACCAACGTCACTCTTCAAAAAAAGAGGGTCTTGGGAAATAACGGCTGGTCAGCACCGACTTTATTCCTGGGAAAGTAACAGAGTAAATCTTGAAAGTCATACTAAGAAAAAAAATAATAGTAAATAGACAATGAGAAAGAATTAAAAATGTCTGAGCTGTTGGACTGATTGAAGATATGAAGTTCAGCTGTAGCAAAGTCACCAGCAATATATCCCAGGGTTCAATAGTAGCACCAATACTGTTTAGTATTTGCAATAATTAGCTGGATGAGAAGACAAAATGGACCTTTAGTATGTCTGTAGATAATACTGGCAGGAATAGTTGATAGATGAGTGGATTATGCTGCTATTCAGAAGGACCTCAATAGGCTGCAAAAGTGAGCTGACAGGAACTTCGTAATGTTCAGATAAGGAAAGCATGAAATTCTGTATCCACTCAGGAACCAGTATATCTTCTGTAAGACTAATCAGCTATGCCTCATTAGACAGAACATGGCCTATATTTCAGGGAGGCCATCCTTGCTAAGTACTTGGCATTGGCAAGGCACTGGCATGATTGGTTGAGATCCAGACTCCCTAGAGAAAGACAGGGTATACTAGATTGAGACCAACATAAGGCTACAGAGATGAATAACAGACTGGAACACTTGCCATACAAGGAGAGATTGAGAGCTAAGACAGTTTAGCCTGGAGAAGAAATGGCTTAGGGGATGCTGACAAATGAATATAAAAGTTTGGTGGGGTAGAGGGAACAAAGAAAAAAAGAGACAGATCCTCTCAGTGGTATCCAGTGAAAGGAGAAAAGGCAGTGGGCAAAACTAAAATGCAGGATATTACATTTAAACATAAGAAAAAACTAAGAATGGTCAAACACTAGAGCAGACTGGCCAGAGAGTAGTCTCCACCCTTAAGGAAAGTCACACTGGATGTGGTCTTCAATAAATTTCTCAAATATTACAATAATATTAAGATATAGCATTTATTGCAATTATATTATTTCTATATTATTATTTTACATTGGGGAATTAAGTGGAAAGAGAAAATGTAAAACTACACTGCAAGACAATTTTCTTACAGATATCTCTACCTGATAAATTTTAGTAATTTGATAAAGAAAATAAATGAAGAGATGTTCTGGAAAAAAAACACTTTATCAAGTTACACACAGGATGTGTAAGCTCACAATTAAAAAGTGTTATTTCTTGGTTCCCTGGAATATGGTGGATAGAACTGCACTTCCTGCTGGTGCCCAGTTCCAGTCTATTCCGGCACATTTGAGTGACATTTGAAATCATGCTGCCACTGTAATCTGAGCTTCTTTGTCAGCAAAACTCCAAAC